TTAAGTGAGACCTCAATGAAGAAAAAAGAAACTAACAAAGCCACATGATTACAGTTAATTCTAAAGCCTTTCTGGGCTCCTCTCTCCCACCCGTCTCCCTCTACTCTCACAATTTAACACATGCATATGGACTTGCTGATATTTAATATGTAATTATTTTATGAAAATGTACAAAATTCTGATTACTAATGTTAGAGTTTTTGGTGTAAGAGTAAAGAGGGTTTAATCCCAGGTCTACAGTTATGCAAATTTATCACTTTGAAAAACTGACTGGGTAACAATGATCATCAGTTTCTTCATCAGTAAAATGGGGTTAGATATAGTTTATAGGATCACCATGTGATTTAAATGAAATATATATTTTAAATGTCTAAACGCTTAATGTCTAAATGCTTAAAGGTAGGATCTCAAAAACAGCAACTTTAAAACATTTTTCCACAGTATTTAATACAAGCTCAGAACTATAATACAGATTCTATAAATACATGTGAATTGGCTTATTAAAATATGTGAATTTTAAAAGAGCTAAAGTAAATTTCCATTTGATTCTTTGGAAAATGTGTAGCGCTTTCACTGATATCTCATGATATCTTAATGGGTTGTTATATAATCAGTGCTTCTGCCTGTAAACCCTAAATTTAGCCCCAGGACACCTGCACTGCACACTCTGCACTGCACCTGTTTGTTTATGCTATTCCAGGATTCTCACTTTACTGTACTTACTGCAGATAGCACCAAACTTCTGCCTCTGTTTAAAGGCACTGAACTCTTGCAAGGATGGATGAGGGAACTGCATGTACTATTGATGTCTTGTATAGTTTTTACAACAGTTTCCCAGTCATGTAATACCTCTGCTCTTTGATTTTCCTACTGTTTGGAAGGTTTTTCCTGTTGTAATTCTATAGAGGGAAAACTGCCACAGGTAATCTAAATGGAAATGTGTAAAAACTCTCCCTGGTCTGAGATAAGAAGAGTTTATAAGTAAACTCTTATTTATAGTTATGGAAAGTCATTTTTCTACACTAAAAAAAGTAATCACAGAGGGTCCACCTAGTTCAACTTTACCACAGAACTGACCAGTCTGAGTCAGACATGGTAGAGGTATCTAGGTATTGTGAATCAGACAATCAGTAAAGAAAAGAATCACATGGAAAGATGTTAAGCATCTTTTCATATGTCTTTTGTCTATCTGTATGTTCTTTTTGGAGAAGTGTTTATTTAGTTCCTCTGCACATTTTTAATGGGGTTATTTTTTCTTTTAGTGTTAAGTGTATGGGCTCTTTGTAAATTTTGAATATTAATTCCTTATCAGATATATCAGTAGCACATTAGCCTATTTTTTCAATCCTCAAGTGAGGATATGTTTCTTGATTATTGATTTTAGAGAGAGGAAGAAAGAGAGAGGGAGATAAATGTGAGAGAGAAATATCAATTGGGAGAAATATCGATTGGTTGCCCCCTGTGAGCACCTGACAGGGGATCCAACCTACAACCTAGGTATGTGCCCTGACTAGGAATCAAACCCTCAAGCTTTTGGTGTACAGGATGACAATTGACCCAACTGAGCAAACTGGCCAGGGATCATTAGCATATTTTATAAACTTAAAATAATACTAACAAACTGGTTAGATATAACTAGACAGTAATAGTGGTTACATCTAATAGCCAGCTGTGCAAATTGAACAAGTGATTTATATTCCTTGAACATAATATTCCACATGGGTAAAATGGGGTTCATGTTTACTTAGCTAATAGGATTGCTCTGAGGATTGGGTAGTATTTTAGTTAGCACAGTGTGGGTACTCTGAAAATATCAGGCACCCTCATAGGAGAGAGAATGGATCATGAGGAAGTTAAGAACATAGCCTTGCGGGTGAGCAAGTCTGATAAGAGCTATGTGTATTTATGTCAGGCCCTGATGTATGAAATAGAAACCCTTTTTCCAAGGTACTCAGTTTGCCTCAAGTGCCAACTTTAGGTAGGTGCATATCTAGGTTCTGGAGCTGCAGCAATGAACAAAGTGTTACCTTGCCCTTGTGAAACCTGCACTATAGTTTTCATTCTAGGCGATTCAAAGTAATTTTCACTTAAGTTAGTCCCTGCAGATACCTACTGGCAAAATTGACATATGAAGAGTTAAAGTACTCACAGATAATGATGTGTCTCTAGAGACAGAGCTACTAAACTGTCCTAGGCAACTGTGTGAAATGGGTAAGTCTAGGAAACACTCAACCATGGAAACTGATGGAAATGGGGGAAATCCAAAAGCAGGTAAAAAGATGAAGGTATTACCAAACTATAAAGAATCCAGACAGAACATATTTTTACTGCTGAATGAGGTTTTACTTTGTCAATACTATGGCTAGAAATATAGAGCAGAATAAATTGGGAGGAAAAAAAAAGGCATGCTTTGTCTTCTATGTACACCACAAGATGCAGGCTCTATTTATCTTAATATAACCATTTCTTTGTAGGAAGACTGGGGTAGCACAGGGTGTGGAACATTCAAATATTTGTTGAATAAATGAGTAATATTAAGAGCTTCTCATCTTGATACTTTTCCATATTTATTTACTGACATAAATTATTCATTCATAATATTTTGGTTTTATGTTCATTCCCTGCAAGATAGTTATTATTAGCCCAGGTTATAAATACATGTAGTTTATTCAGCCTTCCCCCAATGCACAGCCAACCCATGTCTGCAATTTTAATGAAATCTGTTGCAGGACAACACCCATTTCTTTCCATCATGCAATACTAAGGAAACAGAGCTGTAGAGGAGGAACACCATATGTGAATTGACAATCTAAATACTTGTAGCAGTAACTGGTAGAATTAATATTATCAGTAAAGACATGTTATAATATCGGCAAGAAATAGTAACTTCACTCACAACTCACAATGCTCTCTAAGGCACATGAACTTAGCAGAGGGTGAGGGCTTCCCTTCATTCACCCATATGTTTTTCTTAGAAATTGAATAGCAATTAATGAACCAATACATTTCTGTTGAATGTTTATATGTCCACCCTTCAGGGAGTTCATTGATAAACCACTAAAATACAACCAATTAGGTTACTACCAAGTCCTCTTACTGCTATCTTCTAAATAACACAGTTCTAAAGATGCCTTTGGTGTATGTTTAACCTGATGCGTTAAGTGACAATTTTATGAGTTAAATTTAAAATTCCAGAGATTGTCTTTGCACACTGACAATATTCACCCAGGAGACTAAGAAGATACTCAGAAACCATTCAAAATAAAGACATACATGTTCTTACTTTTTGTTGAGTCTGAACTAATCTTCATTTTTATGTCTCTCCTGTTAACTGTTAAATTTTTGTGTGTGTGATTTTTTCCAGTCTTTGTTGAAACTTGAACTTACATACTAAATTCTGCTGTGACTTTCCTTCTTTACTATCTAATAGTGAATTCTTACTGATAATTGCCTTTCACATGTATAATATTTACCCCTTTTGTTAATATTGGGTTGGTCAAAAAGGTTATTTTTGTCCATACAATGGCTCTAATAGGGCTTAGTAATCTTTAACTTCATTCAAAACAATTTTGTCGGCTTTTATTGTGACACCTGTCATATTAGAATAATTTTTTTTAAAAATATCAAAATTGGCAATTTTGTGTAGCTATTTTAATATTGAAGATGGAAGAAAATATGAAACATTTTCAGCATATTAAGCTTTATTGTTTCAAGGAAGGTAAAAATGCAACTAATGCACACAAAAAAATATTTGTGCAGTGCATGGAGAAGGTACTGTGACTGATCAAATGTGTTAAAAGTGATTTGTGAAGTTTTTACTATATTGATATTTTGGCCAAATAATTATTTGCTGTGGGGCTGTCTTATGCACTGGAAGATGTTTAGCAGCACCCCTGGCCTCTACCCACTAGAAGCCAATAACGGGAGATAGCCAACATACTCAAAATATTCAAATCAATAAAGGTATTGGTGAAAAGGAATGCTGTGTCTTTGATTTTTATGGAAAAATTTAAGACTTTTTGGGCAACTCAATATTAATAAATATCAAATAGGTGGCAGGGAGTCATTGTCATACAAAATAGTCACTTCTTCTTTTATCCATTTGGCTCTTTTTATAATTTCCTTTTTGATTTGCCTTTGAATCTTTCAGAACTCTACTCCTTGCCTTCTGCAGTTGTCTCACCCTTCCTTCAAAAGTGCCTTTGATCACATAAAGGGTAGGGAACCCCTCTCTTTCTTCCTTTGGGATAGGAAGTGGATTACAGTGAAATGAAGACCTGCTTGAGGTCAAACAGGCCATGATAGGCACCAACCCACAGCAAGAGGTTCATGCCCTCAATGTGCAGAAGACTGGAGGGTATTCTGTACTAAATTAGCTTGCATCTGACAAGTTTCAAGCTCACTGTGGGGCAGCCAGGACACTTAAAGAAAGCAGTACCCCTCATAAAAAGACACAAGAATGCCCAGAAACTTACATTTTCCTCATATACATGACATCTCCTCCCTAAACAAAACAAAACAAAACAAAACAAAACAAACAAAAAACTCTAAAGGAAGTAAAATGTTCTTTTCCTTTTTTTCCTGTAACTTATCTTTCATAAATGTACCAAGTGTACCAAATGAAGGATTCTGAGCAAGTCTCATTATAATGTGTGAATGTATGTGTGTTTAAACTTACTCAATTACTTTTAAAATACATAAACGGACAAATAGGTAGATAATAAACAAACAAATAAATAAATAATCAAACAAAATAAAGCCCAGCATTTAGCATGTATATTTTCTTACCTAGCAATAAGATCTCATTTCAAATAATGTCATCTATGGCTTAACCACTTCAAAACAGGGGAGTTTTCTTCTCCGACATGAATAAAAGAAATACATAATTTGGACTGTCCTTTATAAACTTCCACCTCATACACTAGGAGGATCAGAAACTAGAACTTGCTACAAAAGAAAATTTTCTGTAGGTATCTGAGCAGGGGTTAACTTGACCTTACCCAAACTGAGATGCAGGGCTAGCCTCCCTTTCTGGAGCTCCAGGGTGATGTGGTCTCCACGTTGACCTTCTCCATGGAACAGAACACCATCTCCTTGGATGCTCTTGAACTTCAGAGAGATAACATCTTTGAGAGTGCTCAGCAGCTTCTGATTGAACCTGTACAGAAGGGAGCTTCTGCCATCAAAATCAGCAACATCTGATTCTGGGTGCAAAAAGAGAAGAGGAGAGAAAAATCAATGTATTTCCTCATAATTTCTAGTCTTTCTTCCCAGCTTAGTTGTTGTCCATTGTATATGCATGTTTTTGACATCTGGAAGGACCTGTTGTTTTTAAGGGGAGGTATATAAACTAGGCCCATCCTAATTAGATACGGGGGGATAATTTATGTACAAGCAACCACCACACACTGAGTTAAAGTGAACTGATCATCATCCTAGAAGCAAAAGCTCTCATTAGTGATTTCATTTTTTAAACTTACTTCATTGTTGTTCAATTACAGTTGTCTACATTGTCTCCCCACCACTCTCCCCCCACCCCAGCCAAACCCATCTCCTTCCCTTGCTTCCACCCTCCCCCTTGGTTTTGTCCATGTGTTCTTTATAGTAGTTCCTGAAAACGCATCCCCCACTATCTCCTCTCCCTTCCTCTCTGGCTTTTGTTAGATTGTTCTCAATTTCAATGTCTCTGGTTATATTTTGTTTGTTTTTTTACTTTCATCGATTATGTTTCATTTCTTTTTTGTTATGATATGATATGTCATTTCTTTTTTGAGGGGACAGGATGAGAGTGCCACAAGTACCTATGTTAGGATCTACTCTGTCAGATGCCAGGATGTAATAATATCTCATAATTTTTCTTTCTTGTTACTTTGCTTGATAGTTCAAGCTGCTCAATCCACTCCTCTCAGGACCAAGGTTAGAGATAGAAAAATAGTCTTATTATTCAATGATGACTGTATAGTACTGTCTTTCAACTACCCTGTGTTGAGGATTCTGAGATTTTTTCTGATTTCAGTGGAAAAGAATACTCATATGCAGTAAGATAAAACTTGCTATTTTAAAACAGAAGGAAATATATTGCATCCTCTCCACCCCTTCCTCTATCTTATGCCAGTGACAATTATTATTTTAGTCTTTACATACAAAATATTTACTTATTATTGTTAAAGCAGGAGGTCAAGTAATTATAATTTAGATACATTTATATTGTGGATGTGTAAAATCTATCTAAAAATTGTATGACAAAAATTTTAGAGGGATTTTAAAGGGATTTTACCTCATTAAGGAATGTATACAGATGGCAAATAAGTATATAAAAAGATTCTCCACACCTATATGACATTAGGGAAATATAAATTAAGACAACAATGAGATATCTCTACATACATATTAGAATGACCTAAATTTGGATCATTGATAATACCTAATGTTAGTGAAGATATGGAACACCAGGGATACTCATTCATTGCTAGTGGGAGTACAATATGGTACAGCCACTTTGAAAGACAGTTTAGTAGTTTCTTACAAAGCTAAATATATTCCTACAATGCCATCCATCATTCACACTTCCTGGTATTTATCAAAAGGAGTTGAAAACTTATGTCTAAACAAAAATCTGACACAAATGTTTAAAGCAGCTTTATTCATAATTTTGAAAATTTGGAAGCAACTGAGATATGCTTCTGTAGGGGATGGATAAATAAACTATGATATATCCAGACAATGGGATATTATTTATCCATAAAAAGAAATTAACTACCAAGCTATAATAAGACATGGAAGAAATTTTCTTTAGTTTTTTTTAAAATTTTAATCTTTGTTCAAGTACAGTTTTCTCCCGTTTACTCCCATTCCAACCCACCCACCCAACCCTCCCCACTTCCCTCCCATTACCACCCTCCCTCTAGTTTTTGTCCATGTGTCCTTTAAATTTGTTCCTGTAAACCCTACCCATTCTCTCCTGAAATTCCCTCTTATCTCCCCTCTGGTCACTGTCAGTCTGTCCTGTATTTCAGTGACTTTGGTTATATTTTGCTTGTTTCTTTGTTTTGTTGTTTAGGTTCCTGTTAAAGGTTATATGGTGTTTGTCTTTCACTGCCTGGCTTATTTTGCTTAGCATAATGCTTTCCAGCTCCATCCAAGCTGTTGCAAAGGGAAGGAGCTCCTTCTTTCTTTCTGCTGCATAGAATTCCATTGTGTAAATGTACCATAATTTTTTGATCCATTCATTTACTGATGGGCATCTAGGTTGCTTCCAGCACCTAGCTATTGTAAATTGTGCTGCTATGAACATCAGGGTGCAAAGGTTCTTACATGGAAGAAATTTAAATGTATATCACAAAGTGAAAGAAGCCAATCTGAACAGGCTACATGTTGTATGTTTCCAAGTATATAATATTCCAAAAAACAAAAAATATGGTAACAATAAAAAGATCATGGCTGCCACAAATTGAGGAGGAAGTATTCATAGGCAAAGCATACACAATTTTTAGAGTAGTGAAAATATTTTGCATGACACCATAATAATGGATATGTTAATATATTCACCAAACACATGGAATGTACATCACCAAGTGTGAGTGGTAATGAAAACTGTAAATTCTGAATAATTATGATGTATCAGTTTAAGTTCATTAGTTGTAAAAAATGTACCTTTTCATTTGGGGGTGGTAATAACAGGTGAGGATGCATATTTGGGGTCAGCAGTATATAAAAACTGTAAATTTTGAGGTGAATCTAAAATGTCTTTAAAAATAAGTTAATAAGAACTATTTGGGAGGTGTTATTGTACATTTTAACATTATTTTTATTTTTAAATTATGAATGCTTCATAATTAAATTTTATTGCTTTTATGATAGAAAAAATTAGGCTAATTACAACTTGAAACAGATTCATTATATACTATCTTATGTGGGTAAGATGGTGGTGAATAGATATTTGGAGGGGGTGGGCTTAGTCTTATTTGAAATTAATTATTCAAAAATACTCAATTTTTAAATTATTTACCAAGAAATTAAAATTTGCAGCTCAAGTACACACAATGATTCATTATGATTTTTTTTACCAAGAACCGAGAAATATTATTTGCAAAATTGGATTTCTGAAATAAAAATAAAACCATACTTTTATTGTAATTAGTTTTAAAATACAATCTTATAATTTATTCCCTAGGAGTAGAGTGTTTCTAACTGAAAGTTTTCTGATGACTGCCTAGACCCTAAAAATAAATAGTTCAGACATAGAGAGATTTCCACAAACAACCCATTGCTTTCAGACTGTCCCCCGATCTCCCCGTAGTACCCTAGATCTGTCCCTTAAACAAAACTCTACTCAAACCAGATGGAGACTGCAAGCAGCAAACTGTCATCAATCATGGAACAATGAGGATCATAGTGTGTATATCAGATCAAGGGTTTTAAAATAGCTTGTTAGCTGGGTCACCTTGGGCAACTTTACCTCTCTAAGATTTTTATAAAATGGGATAATTTATATCTTTTAGACAATACTGATGGAAGAATTAATATGCTAATACATATAAAGTGATAATACATATAAATGGATACCATCATGTCTGGCACATTATTTACGTTAAATCAATAATAGTAGGCATATTAATATTGAGTGGGTTAACTAGAGGGATTGAGTTCTTACTCAGTCCATTCGAGTAGCAGACATTTTATCTTCTCATGCAAAATGACTGTATTTTTCTCTTTTGGAGTCAATGGTTTATAGCCCAAGGGATGTCAAGTAGGCCTCAAGCTTCCCATACCACCACATTTTAGCCTCTCAAACTCCAGTTGAAATTCTTCATCTATATATTGGGTCTGTATTCTCTCTTCTGATTTCTTCCCCTCTTCCACTGCATCAGACTCTGGAATGGGGTCCTTAAGAGCTGTAGTGGGAAGTGAGTGGACATGACACATGCAATTTGTGGACAGTGATGTTAAGATGGCATGTTATAAAATAGAAAGATGCACCTGGCGCTATGAGAACAAAAAGTTCATATGCTACGTATGGAACTGGGACAAGTTCTTCCATGAATAAACATATACTTTGTTACTGCTTAGAAGAGACACTTTGAGCCATGTATCTAGGTCTGCAGTGCCCTAACTCCTTCCTTCTCCATTCTAATACACTATCTACCCTCAATCTCAATTCATCACAGCATTTAAGATCTGCTTCCATTTCCTCAAATGAGTAGTTAATGTAGTGACAAAATTAATGATACAGATTTTAGTGACATAGGTTATCTCTAAAAAAAACCACATCTCTACCTTGCTATGAGATCTTAAGGAAATATAGACAACTGATAAAACAGGAACAAAGAAAATATTGTTCCTGTTTTACCAATTGAAACCTACAGGCCAGGGTTTTAATTCTGGTTTTGCTAGCTCCTGGCAGGTGAATTTAAGCCAACTGTTTGACATCCCAGAGCTTCAGTGTTCCTATCTGTAAAATACAGCTAAGAGAAACCAACCTTAAATGTCATTGTGAGAATGATATAAAGTTCATACCTGGAAATGACTAGTCACTCATTAACATTTCATTTCCTAATTTTATCATTAATCCAAAGGAAGTACTGCAGTAGCAAAGATTTGAAGCATGCTATAAAGACAATATGAAGAACATGGTGTAAAGAAATTTTGTTTAAGTTTGGGGTTCAGTATTCTTCACATCACACTGAGCAGGCATGCAATCAAGCCCTCATCATCACCTTCCATATTCTCAAAATAACCTCATAGCCACTCTTCCTGATTCAACCTCCACCACCTCCTTCTGACACATTCTCTCATTTTCATAAAATGTAAGCAACACCATACATCCCCTCTGCTGAAACCCTTCAGTAAACTCCTCTAAATTAAAATTAAATCAAATCTCTAAAACTCATCAGGATTGGTCTCTGTACTCCTTCCCCACTTCATCTGCTAATTGTCTTCCCAACCCTGACTCCTCTCCCGCATGCTGCACTCATGATGTCTGAGTCATGTGAATGTGCATGAGTAGAATGAAGGGATTAGTAACATCCACAAAATGTACAGTCTGAACCCTGTAATGCTCTAAATGTTGTTTGTGCATGAACTTATTTGACCCATTTAGATACCCCATGAGGAGCTTACTATTATTATTACTGTCCTACAAATGGGGAAACTATGACACTAAAAGTAAAAAAAAAATACATCATTAGCAAGTGGCAGAGTTAGA